TGCGGAAATTTGAAAGGCGCTGAGATGGAGGCCAATAGTGTTTAATTACCATCGGGAGGGACGATCCTGATGTCGTGACTTCGTTAGCGCTCTCTCCAGTCCATACAGAAGGAGGGCGCAGTTGCGTTCCACTCACACTCCGTAGGTCATGCGCAGGTGCGCCATAACACAGGCTGGCTGCCGACTGCAGTGCTTTGGGACGGACCGTCGCGGTTTGCTGAGGGGCCAGGATCGACACTGTTCCTTTCCTCCCGTTTGTACACTGAACGCTCTGGCGTGTGGGGTTTAGGTTACTTCGTTCTGTCTGTGGTTTGACTGCGAATCATGACTTCATTATGAAGCATCACTCGGGCTCATAGTTCGCACCACAACCCAACCCGGGTGAGCCAGAGCGCAGGGGGAGAGAAAAGAAAGGGGAGGGAGGGTTTTTGATGCGGGCAGAAAAAAAAAAAAATGCCTTGACAGGAATGTAGGAGTGGACAAGCTCGCAGAAGGAACGGACCCAGCCCCAAGCCAATCAGCGAAAGTGCTCCGTTCCGACGGAGACCAGCGCTTGTAGTCGGCCTCTGAACACGGCACACCTGGAACAGAGTGTTAGTTGGTAATATATATGTAGTAAGTCGCTAATTGGTACGTTTCTACATTTCACAATGACTTTTTTATATTTACTTTGTACAAACCTTACACCGACCTAAGTCAACTGAACTTTGCAATGTCCTTGTAAAGTTTATTTAAGCCACATTTCCTGATTTTTGCACAAACAAATTTCTTTCTGCTCATTTTCAATGTTAGCTGCTACGAGACTCATGCTAAAGACGCTAAAGACGCTAAAGACGATAAAGATAATTTCTTAAGAGACATTTATTCTCAACTTTATGATCCTCCAACAACTGCTCCTTCAATTGCAGTGACAAGTGTAACTAACTGTAAACAGTCATCACAGTTGACCCACATGTTAGGCAGCAAAAGAAGCTAACGTGTCTTTATTGAGCTAACTGGATAAAAGCTATGGAAGCCTACAGGGGACTATATTCAAAAGATAATGTAATTCAACAATAGAATTATAAGGATGTGTTATTTGAGTAAAAAATGAAAATGCAATAATCCAATTTACATTTTCATGTTCAAATACATAGATTGTTGCGCAGTGAAAAAAAATAGGAATTGTAAAAAGAAAAAAAATGAAGGAATTATCCATCAATAAATACTATTAGCTAATCGAACAGGAACAGCAGCTGGAAAAGGAAATGGAATAAAGTGCTTCCTGCTGTTTTTGTAAATCCATTTTTAAATATGAAGCATTTATTGATGATTGACTAACTGTTCATTTATAAATTCTTTTTACAATTCCTATTTTGAATGCCTTTTAGAAATATGAAATTAAGGAAATGCTTTATTACTTTTCCTGTGACATCCCTGCTCCTCCGAACTGTGCAAGTGCATGAAAATGAAAATGGGTTTATTACATTTTCACTTTCATTTTTTACTCAAAAAAACACACGTATTGTTGGAAAATTATAATGCTATTGTGGAATCACATTATCATTTGAATACAGTCCCCTATAGGCTTCCACTGTGTAAACTAGCCTCACAGGGTTATTACTTCTTTGCTAATGATGAGTTCAAATTCAGAACCTCCAGCTGAATGAAACCTTCTGTTGAAAACTTCGGCTCAAGTATAAACCTACAAGTAGCTGCTGCTGTTGTTGCTAAGAGCTGAGACCTCTCCACCTCCTCCTCCTCCTCCTCCACCTCCACCTACCCAGAACGTCGGAGGTGTTGACCTGCAGGATGAGCCAGCTGTGTCTCTGGTTTGCGTAGGAGCCGAAGATGGTGAAGATGGTGCTCTTCTCCCCCGGCTCCGTCAGCAGCTGGTAGACGTACACCTCCCTGTCTGAGAACTGAAAGTCGGTCCACGTCTCGCCTTCGTTGGTGCTGAACCTGACGGGGACACGGACCCACGTTTAACTCATCGTTTGAGTTTAACCAGGTGTTTGAACCCAGTTGTGATGATTACTGAATCCATCAAAAGGGGAAAACCAGATTACTGCCTCACCAGGGTAAGAACAGTGAATCCTCAGCCGCTGCTTTCACATTAACATACTGTATCACCTGCACATGAATACACGTCGCCTGCAGTGTTGCTGCTGGCACAGAGATGTTTCACCCCCCCCACCCCCCCACCACCCCTCGTTTACTGAGGGAAGCTTTATTTGCTTTTCCTCCACGACAAGCTGCTTCACGTTCTCACAATCTGCTCCTGCTGATTAACGAGGGGCAGCGGCTGTTTATGAGCTTCACTCCCCAGATTTCCCTCAAGTTGTTTGGGAATTAAAGAAAGAAGAAAAAAAAAAAAGGGAATCTCCGGGTTTAAGCGTGACACAGTTTTGTTGAATGACGGATCAGGAGAGCGTTTGGACTCGGGCCAGTTGGACTTACTTGAGATGTGTGGTGGGGCCTCCTTGTGCGATAGCCATCAGGATCCCACCGTGATCTCCCCATGTGTAGAAGTGAGGGCCGGCCAGAGCCTGGATGACAGCGAGCACAGACAGTCACAACATACTGAGCAATAACACACACACAAAACAATTCATCTGTGACCTGAAATATTCTGATATTTAACGTCAATTCAAGACTTTGTTTATCTGGAAGAGCAAATCATCTCCTGTCCTTAAGGTGATCCCGCTGCTGCTGAAACAGGAAGTCAGGGTGCTTTAATCTAAACTAATGGAATATCAGTTAAGGGAAGAAAGAGTGTGTTTTATAAGAGAGTGCTGCAGGAATGAGTCCTAAAACCCAGGAGCTAGTCGCATTTTAGCACTTCCTGTTCCATCGTCCTGAAGTCTCTGGGTGTTTGGTGATGAAGTAAGGTCTGTGGTGAACACGAGCTCTGGAGAGTTTTATTTTTATTTTTATTTCATTCTCCGACATAAAATACATCAGTAAATACCCCAGTCCTGGTTTCTTTAAGCTTTTACGTCTCTTAAATAAAAAAGGACGGTTGCTGAAGTGTTTAAATGAGACAGAGGAAGTCGGGGACGTTAAACATCATCATGCTGAACATGAAAACCGATCTACTCCACTACCGATCGAAGATTATAAAAGATCATCCTGCAGACAAACTCCAGTGCTGGTTGTTTGTAAATGAGAACTTTTGAGTGAAGCTTTCAAATCCATTATATTCAGTCAAAACCAGAGATTTTTATTCTGTGAATCTTTAAGTTTTAAAACAATCTAAAGCCGCATTAATCAATATTTCCACTCTACCAAGTTCTTATGATGTTACTCTGTTTCCACTGGATGAGGAACTGAAAGTTAACACATGCACCATAAGAACTTTATAAGGTGATAATATGCCAGATGTTGGGTTTACTGCTTGTTCCAGGAGGTGGCTAAATCATCCAATTAATGCAGCTTTAAAGTCGTTAAAGAAACAAAGTTTTAAAGGTTAAATAAGTTGTTGAAACGCAAGTGACGCTTCATGAAAAGAGTTATTGTGATGATTATTTCTATCAAACAATAATGACAATATATTTATCAGTTAATTATACAGTATATTCAAGAAATGCTTGCTCACATTTCCAGCCACTGAAATGAAATTCACTGCGACGTTTGAAAACCCTTTAACACACGAGCACACTGTGTTTTTCTTGTCATCTGTGTCAGATTTTATACTGACCTCTCTCCACCGCGCTCCAGCGCTGCTCGATACGTACACATTAGGTTTGCTGGCTAAGTTCCTGCCCACAGATCCTGCAACCAGAGGACAAATAGGCATTTCACTCACACAGACACACATTACAAGGGTTTCCCCCCCGAATATTACAGACTCCATGTGGCCGCTGTTGTTGCCTTCACGCACGGAAAATGTGTAACCCAAGAAGTCTAACCGTGGCGTTCTGTATCTTTTCATGCATGTGGCCTTTGCATGCACTGGCGAATACTTTCCTCTGACAGTGTGTTATTTTATAAGGCAGATCACCAGGAATGATCTGCGCAGGCGGTTCACAAAAGAAACATGAGGAAATCAAACGCAGAAGTGAAAAGTGATCTCTCTGGTTTTTCTTCCTGTTTTTTTTTTTTTCTTCTCACCATTTTCTCATAGCTGTGGTCATCTCCGGCGTGGAGGCATAAAAATTTAATCCCATGTGCAGAAATCCAGACACCACAACAGGCTAATACAAGACGCTGCTCATCACCTGGCTAGTAGCAGCTCTAAGATAACTGATGACCACAAAGCTGCAGAGGCTACAAAGACGACACAGGAGCGATGCTCCTCAAACGGAAACGTGATCAACGACTTCTTAACGTATGTAAAGCAACATCTGGATCGGCCAGGAACAACCGCTGTGGACAGATGAAGATGAAATCCATCTCCACAGTCACTACAGGTAAGTATGTTTGGAGAACACCTTTCCCAGCTGTTAAACATGGGGGTGGAAATATTCCGTCTGTGCGGTTGTGCGGCCGCCAGATCACTCGAAAACAGACTCTCTAAAAACTTGGTTTGTACTGTTGCACATTTAAAGGTAGAGTAGTTTAAAATAATACAAATCAAATTTAATTTAATTGAATTAAGCCAGAACTTGTTGAGGCAACCAAACTTTTGCACATGACACAATTACTGTTTATTTTTATGTCTCCACGGCAACAACAATCAGAGGTACTACGTTTTCAGGTTGTCCGTCCATCTCAGGATCCGGATATCTCAGTAACGCCACGAGGGAACTTCTTCATATTTGGTAGAAACATTCACTCGGATTCAAGGATGAACTTATAAGAATTTGGAGGTCAAAGGTAAAAGCTCAAGGTCACAGTAAACTAAAAAAAAATTCAACAAGTGAACGGTCATGGTGACCTCATGCTCTTGTGAGTGCGACACATCGGGAGCACCTGGACGGATTTTCATTACATTTGGCACAAACATTCACTTGGACTTAAGGATCAACTCTTCAGAATTTGGTGGTTAAAGGTCAAAGGTCAAAGGTCGCTTTGACCTCACACACAAAACAAGTTTTTGGCCTCATGCGCTAACGATGACACAATTTAACATAAATCTCTAAACACGATAAAATGATGAAGTGATGACATTTTATATCCAAAGGGTCAAAGGTCAACTGCACTGTGACATCTTAATGTTCTGCAAAAACACAACAAACTCAGCACTGTAACTCAGGAACAGAAGAGGAGGTTGTGACCATATTTCCTGCAGCTTCACTGGCTGGCGGAGGGATACAGCCGTGAGGAGGTGATTCTACTTTTCTATTTTTTAAAAGTTCATGAAATAAAAAGCATCAGAACATTAACATTTGAAGAAAGGCTATTTTTTAATGTCTGCTTGCTGCAGGGGTCGTATCGACTTCTGTTCACTGAGGAAAAGTTTGTGACGAACTTTTGCAAAAAAACATCCGTATATGTCGTCGTGTTTTTAACATCCTGGTCCAAAGAGAAACTAAACTTCAGCTGCATCTTATTAAAGTTGGAATTCAAAAATAACCTTGAATTTATTTAATCAAACATCATTCATCATAATTTTTATAAAAACATTATAATCCCAAACGGACATGTTAGTCAAACATGTCGAGCACTGACCAGTTGAAGTTGTTGTGTGTGTGTAAACATGATTGTGTAGTTTTGTGGTTTCCTCTATTCATGAGTGTGTTTGACCCGTCGAGTGCCCGCTGGGTGCTGCAGCAGTAATTAGCCCATCTGTTTGAGAGTGATAATAAAGCGAATGGCACCAGCGATTGCCAGTCCCCCCCCCCCCCTCTCTCTCTCTCTCTCTCTCTCTCTCTCTCTCTCTCTCTCCATTCCCATTATCTAGTAAGAATTTAATTAGAGGGACTGGCTGAGTGCAGGGAAAGCAGTCTCCTAGACACTGGAGAGTATCAACAAATCAATGCTTTCCAGCAGCTGTGAGGAGGCAGCGAGGCCTCCAGCTGCAGAGGAGAGAAACTCATGTGTCTGCAACATGTTGACGCGCTGACACACGCGAAACAACACGAGCTTCTAGCACCAGCTTTCTCGTCGTTTCCTGTGTTTAAGGAAGCGGAGGCTGCTCGAGCACCGCAGAGGAAGACGTGGTGGTTTGTATCGCTTGTTTCCTGTGTTGAACAAAGTCATGTGCGTTATCAAAACGAGAGGAAGTTGTTGGCTACAACAACAAATAACAGGTCAGCTCCGTCAGTGATACCGTCGTCCTACAGCTGGTGCCTGAAGTCTCCTGACCTCATAATGACTCTTTAATTTACTGAATATAATATTATTATTTTCTTCATTATCACACAGATTCCACTTTATCATTTTATGCATTTATATTGATCATATCTTCTTCTATATTCTGTACCTTGTTGGATTACTGTATATTCTAGAAAGGCGCCTATAGACTAGCATTAGCACAACGCAATAGTTCTTTGGGATCCAGCAATATTTTTACTTGATATCAAAAAATATGAGCACACTTGGACTTTAAAAGCAAATACAAAATGTAACTGCATGAATAATACATCGTCTGTGAGCTGAATAACCAGCTGAGTAAACCACAATCACCAATCGGCAAAAACAAATGAATCAGTTGATCCTAATTATTAACCCAAGGCAAATTAATCAATACAAAAAACCAACCTACAGTCACCTCCCCGTGGTTGTCTGCCTCCGCCACTCAGACTAGCTTCAGATCGTCAACATCAGACATCCTGTTTATCCAGAGTCATAAAATATGAACCATTTGTGTGAAAATCTGTCATAATTGCTGTGTTTTGTGAGGTCACTGTGACCTTGACCTTTGACCTTTGGCCACCAAAATCGAATCAGTTTATCCTTGAGTCCTAGTGAATGTTTGTGCCAAATTTGAAGAAGTTCCTTCAAGGCGTTACTGAGATATCGCGTCCACGAGAACAGGACGTTCTCAGATGGACAGATATATTATTATTATTATTATCATTATCATTATTATTATTATTCTAATTATTAGATTTGTGAGAGTAAGATTAAACTTCATGAGGACGGGTCAGCGACACATTTAAAAGGTCCACTGGATCTGAACCATTACAATGGATTCACGTGGCTCCAACATTTACATCATCATCTTTGAGAAACGCTCGTTGTCCCACCTGTGGCCATGACGACTCCCGGCGCAGAGTCCTTGGATAAAATGGGCATCCTCCTCAGCTGGATGTTGAACAGCTGGCTCCAGCGCTGGGCCAGGTGAAGGGAGCAACCTTTACTGAGCTGCGGGAGAGAAGAGTCACATGACGATGTTCTGTCTCTCTCGTGAGGTATTCAGATCGACTACTAGACAGTTTCTCTCCAAGGTTAAAACTACTGATCTGCCGGTACGTTGGGCCGATACTGGAATTCAATAAAGATCAAAATTAAAAAGCGATGGCCGTCTCCCTCTGTGATGGAGGTTTCACCCTGTCCTTCATACCACACTGTGCCTCGTCATGTCTTAATGAGCTGACAATATTAACAGAATACTGGTGGTCTGACTTTTATTTTGAAATATCAATTCCCTGTGGTCCCTTACTTTAGTGATTTAGTTCGATATAAACACAAAATACTCCACAAATATTGATTATTATTATTATGATTATTATTATTATTGATTTTAGTGGCTGGAATCAGCAATTACTTGTTATTCCTGCCACATAAATGACTGTAAACATGTTTATTTCTGCTGTAAAGTTGGACTTTAACATGGGAGTCTATGGTCGTTAGAGGAACTGCAGAGTCAGTGTTGACTTCATTTTCCAGCTTGTTTTAGATGCAGCAATGAGCGAACTGTGCAAGACGCTGTGCTCCTAAAGCAGTCACTATGATCACATGACTCGATCCCATATGTGAGTTTCCTCCACCGCTGACCAGAGCTTTCGGCCATCGCTATGTCTTTACAATACAAGAGGTTATAGTACGTCCTCTGTGCAGCGCTATGTCTTCAGGGCAGACTGGAGGCCACAGTGAGTCGCTATCGGAAAGTGACGGGTTGAGGCTAGCTGGTTAGCATGCTAACTTCAGTAGAAGACAAGAATTGACACTGGTGTTACTTTCTGGAGACAGATGTTGGCGAGTAAAGGAACACTGCAACGTTTTCTTCTAGACTGCTAAGTAAACAGAAGTTAATGCTAACGTTAGCTATGTAGCAAAAGCAAAAGTTACAAATAGCTAATAGAGAAATGAAGCTCGTCGTACCTGACAGTCCACGGTTCCTCCCAGGCTGTCGGCGGCGGGCGGCTGAAGCAGCTCCCACGTCCCTCCCTTGTCGAAGGTGATGACGGATCGCATGTTGTCCTCGCTGACCGAGCCGTTGATGAGCGTGGCGATGAAGACGCCTCGCAGCCCCTCCACGCGGTGCAGGTCAGCAAACGGCTCATTGGCAAAGTACCTGAAACACAAGAGGGGACACAAGACAACAAGAGTCAGGGAGAGTCAAACACAAGAAGCAATTTAAACTTCCTGTTCCAGAAGACTCAGACACACAGAAGGACTGACAGGCAGCAAACTAACTGCATCAGCATTTCAAAATGTCCAGCTGACATGACACACAGCAGAGAGAGGTGAACAGGAAACCTGAACTTCATTACCCAGAACTGATGTGATGTAAGAAATGTTTACCCAAAACAACCTGACACACAGAGGGAACAAAGATCCACAGCTAATTTCATTAACCAGAGACACTGTGTCACACAGGCCGACACACACACACACACACACACACACACACACACACACACCTGAGCCAACACTGCTGATGCCAAAGCGACACAGGATCTTCCTGATGCGATTATGGAGCAAAACACAATGGACACAGAGCCGAGAGGCCGCACAGCGCTGTGGCTCCACATCAATAAATCCTCTTTTTATTAGATAAGGAAACATCATGTTTCCAAAGCGTTGTCACTGTTATCACACATTTGTGTCGGGAACTAGAGATCTGGCGGTTCCTGAGGTTGCCGTGGGAACTTCTCAGTTACTAAGAGGGCTGCAGATGTTCATGAGGAACCTGGGTAATGAAACTGTGGATGCCTTTTATCGTTGTCCACAGTTTTTTATGCTGCGTAAGGGAGGAACTCCCTTTCCAATTAAGTCTAATTAAGTTATGTAACTGGTGTAGATGATGTGTTCAGTGTAATTAGAGTTTTCACTTTCAACATCGTCAGGTTTTTTTTTTTTACAACCTGTATAACAGACAGACGTCCAGGGCTGAAAGATGAAGAAGCAATCACTGCAGTTCCTCTAATGGCCACTAGAGTCTGGCTCCAACAGTGAGTCAATCCCCATACACTCCCATGTTTAAATGTCCAACTTCACAGCAGAAATAAACATGTTTCCTCCTTCCTGAAAACTGTACAGTCATTTTTAAATGACCCTGGGGCGACCCCGATAACCGAGTGGTTAGGGCAAGTCCCCGGTTCGATGGGATCTATGTGCGCTGAAAACAGGAGCAGCAGCTCGGGCGTTGCTCCTCGCTCTGGTGGTTATCAGGCATCAGATTAAGGACACCTGCTGGATCCCTCCCTGAGAAGGTATTCCAGGAACACGCTACTAGAAGCTGATCCACGAGAGGCAGGGTGAATGGCAGGAAATGGATGGAGGTTAATTTAAATTTAGGCCTACACATATTTTATAGTGCATTACCTTTTTATCAACCGTATATATTCCAGTTAAGTTCGACTGTTGCACTTTATTTTGTTTGTCTGGGGTCTGGAGTTTGTTTTTCTGGATATAAATGCTTAGAAATGACTATTAAAGGAAATATATAAATATAAAACTAAAGTAAAGTGAGAAATGAATTCTTCTTCCACCACAGACGAAGCCATGAAAACATATAGTATATATATTTAGTATATATATTATACTGGGGCAGAACGGTGGCTGGTTTAATGTCCCAGGAAATGGTTTTTATTCAAAGTGTGTTACGTATTTTTTGTGAGATTTTACTTCACAATAAACTTCCCTTTCCAACAAGCTTAACAGGTTTTTGATATATGTTAGATAATATGTGTGTTTGTGCATTTGTGTGTGTGTGTGTGTGTGTGTGTGTGTGTGTGTGTGTGTGCAGCACCTGATGAGTGTGTTGCTCCCTGAGCCCTCAGGACTGTAGTACAGCACGTTCTCCAGCGACAGGGAGAAGGACAGGCCCTGTGTGTCTGAGATGTACAGGTGTGTGACGTTGTTCAGGTGGTTCACACACACGAACACCTGGTCTTCAGATGCGTCTGCTATGTAGTACTCCTGTTAGGAAGACACAGTACATAAGACACAGTGTGGAAAAGGCTGGATATCAGAGTGAACACTGTGTAGAGGAGTGTAGGCGGTTCTTCCACCAAAATAAGAGCGTCGCTTGTGTCTTATATTTTTGGAGATGGAAATCGGTATTGAAGTCAAGGTATTTGTATACCCGCCTCAATCCTCTATGCCTGAATTCACGGTGGGGTTGTAGATGTGGATGTGTGCGGCAGTTACAAGGTAATGTCCACCTGACTCCACGTTTCAGTCTGCACCAAAAAGGTGTCGATGTTTGACACCCGGTCCAACTTCAACATCTGCTGCTTTCATACATTTATCTTTATTTGTGAATCACTGTTCAACGCGTAAAAAGGAGACTCACCGTGATCGGATGGCGGGTCATAAACTGGGCGGCTTTCATCGGCTGGCGGTTGTAGGAAACCCAGAGCTGAACAGATGAAGGTTCGTGGCTGCCAAACAGTTTCTGGAGAGGCAGAGGACAGAGAGAGAGAGAGAGCGAGAGAGAGAGCACAGTTCATTCAGCTAGTCCAAACTATTAAAAAGCCAATCTAGTAACATGCTGTGAATCATCAGCCGCAACTTGGAACTGACATACAGGCTTCATCTGTCACTGAAGAGGAAAAATGTTGAGTTAGCACAAATCGAGATGATAAAAACCCCCAAAACAAATGTAAAATTATTTTATTCAAGTAACTTATTATACGTTTTTTTTGGAAGACACCAAAATGTTGATTAAATATTAATATATAGATTATATATATTTTTATATTTTCTTCTTCTTCTGTGTTTTATTTGAAGTGTTGATCCATAAGAAGATATTTTTGTGGTTTTAAGAACCAAAAACCATCTCAGTGTAGTTTTACATCTCCTCTCTCAGGCTTCTCTCTGGAGCTCTAGTAACAACAGGTCGGTGAGCCAATCAGAAGAGAGGAGGCTCTGAGCCTCTCTTCTGATTGGCTGACTGTTTTCTGAGTGAGTGATGCAATAAAAAAAATATAGCAGATTTCAGGTAAAAACACTCAGAGAAACCAAATCCTGCAAGGTTTGGATGGTGGGTCCAGGTGGGCGGGGCTTGGTGACTGCTTTGTTGTGACATCACAAAGTTCCAGAAGTCCTGACGGCTGGTTTTAAGGCTCAGTTTCTGAATACAGGCTGTGTGCATTTCTCTGTGGACTGAGGCTTTGATACTTTCACAGTATTAATATAGAAGCTAGACCTGATCTATAATCACACTACACATGGACAGAGACCTTTACACTGTATGGGACCTTTAACCAGATCGTCTCTCTGACAGAAGACACTGTCACGTCACATGTACTTTAAAGCTGGACTGGAGCTGGGAGGTTGTGGATAAGGGGAAGAGGCTTTTGTTATTCGTGTCCTGATAATGTTTTTCTGTCTCAATATCCCAGCAGTGCAGCGCTCAACAGTTGGGAAAACATTAAATGTCTAGACTTGAAAAGACTCCCAGTGGGGTTCAGAAACATGTGTGTGTGAGAGAGAGAGAGAGAGAGAGAGAGAGAGAGAGAGAGAGATAAACTCCAAATGCACGACTCGTTGTCATTACAAATACAGTAGGAAATTGGCAGCTGGAAGGAGCCGACGCCAAGCTCTGATCTTTCATGAATTACAAGCATACAGAGCAGACTGAGAGGAGGACTTGAGCATATCTCATTTCTGTGGCTGGTGTGTGTGTGTGTGTGTGTGTGTGTGTGTGTGTGTGTGTGTGTGTGTGTGTGTGTGTGTGTGTGTGTGTGTGAGAGAGGCAGAAACAGACTGCTGGGGAAATACTCCAGATTTTTGGAGAGGTGACTCAGTCTTTTATATGAGAGTGAACTTCCTTCCATCCGAACACAGTGATGACGACAGGATAAATTTACTGTGGTGGAGTGATACATACGCCACATAAATGTGACGTTGTGCCGCCTCTAAATAGACGGCCCGGGGCGGGGCTAGCTGGTTAGCATGCTAACTTCAGTAGAAGAAAAGGTTTGAACAAAATTAAAGCAAAGCAAAGATTAACACTGTTGTTTCTGACGATTTGATGCTGAACCTGCAACAGTTCCTCTGGACTGGTTGGTAAACAGCTGTTAATGCTAACATGTATGGAGTCATCAGAGTGCCATCAAAAATAATAAATTGGAATAAGATAAAGAATAAGAAAATAAATGTGGAAATATAAACAGGAATACATAAAAGAATAAATGAGTAAATAAAAAAATGAAAAATGAAAACATAAAGAGGAATAAATTAAGGGTTTTTGTCAACAAAAGCAACAGATAAAAAGCATTTTTAAAATTATTTTATATATACATATATTTAACTTATTATTTTATTTACTCCTGTTTATATTTCCACATTTATTTTCTTATTTTTCTTACACATTTATTCTTCTTTATGGCACTCCTATGACTCCATAAACATTGGCTTATGTAGCGATAGCAAAAACTTACATAAAGCATCTTTAAGCTGTTGAAAAACAGCCCCGTCTCTCATAATGTCAATATTTTATCTAGTTGGAAAAGAACCATTTAAATGAAAGTAATTTAGCCCCATATTGAGGCTTCAACATATTTTTTCATATAAACAGCTTACCTGAGTAGATCTGAAATAAATTAAGAAGTTAGTTCTCAATATACAAACAAATTTCCAGCATATTTCGGTAAGAAATGTATTAGAATGAAGTGAAGGATTGTTCTGTGATTTCTAACTTTACTGTGTATAATCAAAAAGTGTTTCTGAACCATTTCTGTTCTGGAAATCTTTCTACACAGAGGGGGGATGAATCAAGACCTCAGGCCCAAAATATAAAATTGTTTCCTCAAAAACAGACGATGAATGATGATGACTGCTGACTCGTTTCCCCCCCGAGCCTTTATCATCCACAGAGAACAAATTCAGTTCAGAGGGGTGTGCACTTCATTGACATCACGTTAAGGGATTTCTGGGTCAAGACGGCTCAAATTTTGGGAATTGTTTTTATTCCACTGACAGTTTCACCTCTGCACCAAATGTTTAAAATTAAAATTAAAGCCACATTAAATACTATTTTACCTCCACCTTTTCTTCTTATCTATAGTTATAGCAAGAGAGTTTGTGAATAAACCCTGAGACTCCACTCTGACCTCCATTTCCATCTCACTCCCGCTCCCAGCTGTAAATTTATTTTGTGATTGGGCTCAGTTCAAACTTACACAGAGCCGAGCAGCTTCATTATTTTACTCTGAATTAGCTTAGACCACCCTGTTCGAGCCTTCAACAGCAGCACCCTCCAGAAAGAGAGAAAGACAGAGAGAGAGAGATTGAAAAAAAAAAAAAAAGAAAGAGACAGAGACAGAGAGGGAGGCAGAAAAACAGCCATCATGAAGCTAACGAGAGAAAGATCAGGAGCGAGGAGAGAGCAGGAGGCCAGCTTTAGAAAGCTATAAATTGGTTTTGAACAAAGAAGTCAGACTGGAATTCAGAGAGCAGAGCCGCACATCCACTATTCATTTTGTCTGGCATGTTAGAAGGAGATAAATGTACTAGTTAGAGGAATATAAATGGTCATTTCTAGACATCTTTTATAATCGTATATCAGCCATTCAGAGTGTGAGCCTCTGGGAGAGATAGGGTTGGGGTTTAATAGCATTTTATCAAATCCAAATCCTTATGATTCCTTTGTTGAATCTGATTTGATTTAGCTTTAAATATGTGCGAGTAACTTAACAGTTTTTTATCCGTTATCAGCCTTTAAGTGGCAGAAACGACCGAAACACTACAGTTTTTATTGGTATCATAATTAATGTGCACAACCTGAAAGTGACACGAGCTGAAATTAAATGTACAATTCAAATATTTATTATTAATCATGCATTTTCTTGCCAACAGTTAGACAAGAAGATCGATACCACTCTCATATTTGTCGATTAAACACTGAACTAGCAAGAGGAGATGGTCAGGTTAGCTTAGCATAAAGACTGGAAGCAGGGGGAATCTGTTAGCTTAGCTCTGTCTAAAGCTAAAGGCAATCTGCCTTGAAGCACCAACTTAATTAGTGAGCTTGTTTTAGGAGGATTTGTTCAGCTTTGACTACAGCTAAGCTAGCTGTTTCCCCTGCTTCCAGTCTTCTAAACTAGGCTAAGCTAAGCTAACGGTCTCTTGGTTCTAGCTTCATATTTGGTGTACAGACATGAGAGAGGCATCAATCTTTATGTCTACTTCTGGGAAAACATTTTATTTTCTACAATGTCAAACTGTCGCTTTAACATATGAACAGATTTATCTAATTTAGAAGATTTTAAGATCTTTATTTTGCTAACAATCTTTAGCGAACTACCAGAAGAACACCGGCTACCAGACAACTGCCAAGAGTTTAACGTTGGTCCGTCGTCAACGTTGATATAATCTGCCATCATTAAGCGTGGATGCAATGTACACGCAGAGTACGTGATTTTGTTGGACATGTGACCAATGACATGCGCTGATTCGCTGAAATATTATGTCAGGAAGGTGAAATCCATTATAGGAAATGTATTTCATTTGTTTATTCGGTGGTATTAGCCACAAAAAACTTTTTAAAGTCGCGGTTCGGAAAACAGCTGACGACCCGAGCGAAGGAGATTGGATGAAAACAACAAAGACAACAACTTAGAAGATTCAGACACTGACTTCCAACCTGCTAACCTGCTAACCAGCTAGTTAAGGCTCAGGGTGAGACATGTGGGAGGAGGAGTGGGAGGGGCCAGTATCACCACTAGCTACAGGTAAAGATTCACCTGATGCAACGCTGTCACTAAAACCTTTATTTCTCAGCCTCTGAAACAGATAGAGACAAGAAATAAAAAACCATCTGAGACCTGAAACCTTCGTCTTTTATTGTAAGTCATTGTATTTATCCTAATGTTCGTCAACATTTCACAAAAAACAAAACAAAAAAGTTGAAAAAGTTGAACTGAAAATGTTGACAAATGTGCTTGTTTTTCCAGCTATATACAATTTCCAAGGCAAAGGCGATGATTGATGTCAAGCTTTTGAGAAAACCCTCAGGTCTTAGGAGGTTGTTTTAGAGGACAACTCAGGACTTAAAGGGTTAATAACAGAAGAGAGGGGAGGGTTTGAAAAGACATTTGATAGCACCGACAGCTTAGCAAAGCCCCAAATTAGACCCAACTATCAAAACCCAACCAACCAACACACAGAATGATGGATATGGTGCAGAGTAGGCATCTATAGAAGAGTGTTTATATCATAACTATTATTATTATTATAAAATGTGTAAAGCTGTATTATTATGTTGGTCAGTTGTGGCTAATGGTCTCTGTTTTGGAGTCAGAGACAGGACTACAATTCTGGGGAAGCAAGTTTTTGCTCTAAAATCTACAATATTAAGTTACTGAAAGTCACAATATCAGCCATCAGCAACTTCCACTCCAACACAGTGAAGGAAGATTTAAAAAAAAAAAACCTTGTTTCAGTCCGACA